AGCAAAACTTCACCCCCAAGTCCGGCGCGGAGCGGACCATCGACCTCCCCCCGCGGCCAATGCTGCTTAAGGGGTAGGATAAGGATAATAATAATATAATATTATATATATATATATATATATATGCAAGGAAGATGAGCAATAGCAAACTTCAGCAATCAATCAGCATCATACATATGAGTCCAGATAGTCTTGACCTCGAACCAACAGCAAAATTGCAACACGAGATTCACCAAATAAGAACACACCAAGAGTTCATAATTGACAATGCTGAAATAGTCCCATCTTCATCAACGAAGAACCAGAGTTGTTATCCTATCTGGCACTCGGCGCCCAGACTACATGTGGCAGATCCTATCTAAGCCTATACTACGAAGCCAAAAGATGACGTCAACAACATTCCCGAAGTACGAGCATATGGCGACCAATGTCGCACGCTTCCAGCACCAGGTATGTCTCGCGCTACACTCACAACCTCGTTCCCCAACTCACAGATGCCACTARCACCCAAGGACCACCCTGYRCCTCACCCAGCTTACAGCAGYGCAGCTCGGCTATGGCTGCGTGCTCCTTCCCTGCTCGCCCGTGRGAGCGTAGGCGCCAGCCAGCAAATAGCGCAGCAGCAGCGCTTGCGCAGCATGCAGCCAACACCCGAATGCCGAATGAGGAGGCAGGCCCTTCCCTATATCGATGTGGCCTGCCTGCGTCCTGTCCCAGGAAGCTTCCAGTAGGCCCCGGTAGCCTGAGGCCCAGCACAACGAGAGCAGGCCTTGGGCCTGAAGTGGTTGCCTTTGCCCAACTGCCTTCAGCCTGTGTTTGGCCCGGTACCCGTATTCAGCCCAGGGCCTGCTTCACATACATTTACACAGGCGGCCCAGGGCCTGGGTTCACTCAACCAACTGGCGCTGGGCAACTGCCTGAAAAGGGCCCTGAGGGCCTCGTCGAGCCTGCATTCACTTAGGGCGGCCGACGGGCTGCAAAATGGGCCCTTATGGGGCTCATAGAGGCAATGGCCTCGCATTCCCTCCTCCTTAGCTTCAACAGTGCTCTGAGAAGCTCACTCTTCAATCATAGGGCGCTTTCCCTTCTGCAGAGATCTCTCGTATTGCGTTACAACTGGAGGAGCGGTCTGCATGAGCTCTTCCCTGGTGAACCAGCAGTCCTTCTTTGGATCTGTGTGATGTCGGAACCGAACGCGGTACTGCAGCTTCGGTTTCGGAGGATGTCCCCTGCCTGCGGTCTTGATACCGGCAGCTCTCTGCGATCCACAATATCATCGATGTCCACCTCTCCGTCCATGGTTGGGGGCAGCATTGAGCAACGAGATGGAAACTGATCAGTCTCTTTGAAAGGTGCCAGCTTGGAGGCGTGAAAGACAGGGTAAGTACGGAGATGACCAGGAATCCGGATAACGTAAGATGGCCCATCCGGATCTGTCCCTATGATGTCCAAGACTTCCCAAGGTCCAAAGTACTGGGGCATGAGTTTGCGGGAGATCCCGTACTCCTGTCCCAGTTCTGAAGACTTAACCCAGACCCTATCCCCAACCTGAAATGTAGAAGGCCGGCGGTGTCTGTTTTCAGACTCTATCATTGGTGCCTGTGCCTTTTGCATCTGTTCTACAGCTTGCTGCATCTTCTGTTCATAACGGTAAGCAAATTCTGAAGTACCTGGTGCAGTAGTTGACTGATTCTCAGGAAGGAGAAAATCTAAGGGTAGTCTAGGCTTGAAAGTCAATAGCAAACTGTTCGGGCTCACCCCGGTGGCGCTGTGTACTGCATTGTTTTACAGACTGGCGATGAGAGAAAGCTTCTCATCCCAGTCCACCTGGTTGGGCTTGATGTAATGCCTCAACAGGTGTTGTACAGCGCGGTTCAGTTGCTCGGCCTGGCCGTTGGCCTCTGGGTGATTCCCAGAAGTCATTTGCAACTGAGTGCCCTGCTCTGCAACAGCGGCCTTCCACAACTCGCTGGTAAACCTGACATCCCTGTCACTGACAATAGACTTTGGTAAACCAAAGTCTCTAACCCAGTTTTCTTTGAACATTCTGATCACGTACTCCGTCTTTGCTGTTTCCGGCATGGCTACTAACCTAGCATACTTACTAAATCTATCCACGATGACGAAGATGTGACGCATCCCACTCTTGTTGGTGATCAGAGTATCCATGAAGTCCATGGATAGACTCTCACCAGGCCGTTCCGGAATCGGAAGGGGCTTCAGAAGCCCAAGAGGAGCCTGAGTACGTGGCTTGTCCCGTTGACAAACTTGACAAGTCTCTACGTACAACTGGGCATCTCGCATCATCGTGGGCCACCAGAACCGCTGCAGCAAGTTGGTTGTGGTCTTTTTATACCCAAAATGGCCGGTGGCATCATGACACTCTCCTAAGAACAAACTACGCAAAGACTCGCTATTTGGAACACACAAGCTTTTATTCCCTGCCTTCTCCAGGAACAGCAAGCCATTGACCAACTCAAACTCGGCGGAAGTCTTTTTGTCCTTCGCCTCAAGTCTGCGTATGATCTCAGACATAAACTGGTCCTCGCGATAGGCTTCCACCAGGGACTGAGTAACATTGTTCGTCAGATCGAACTCAGTAATCAGCACACCTGAGAAGTCCGGTCTGCGCGACAAGGCATCAGCAACCTTGTTGTACTCCCCTTTGAGATACTGAGGGTCAAAGTCATATTGTTCAATGACTTCGATCCAACGCTTGAGAGCGCCAGAGAGTACCGGCTGGGTTCTCATCCATCTCAGGGCCTAATGATCAGTCCTGAGGATGAAGAACCTCCGAAGGAGATAGTGTCTCCAACGGGTGAGAGCCTTGTACACCGCATAGAGTTCCTTCTCATAAGTGGACTTAGCCAACTTCTGAGACGGCATTTTCTTGGACATGTACTCTACTGGCCTCAATTTTGGCCCCTCCTGTTGCGCGAGCACGGCGCCAATGCCATATTGGCTGGCATCCGTGGTGACTATGAACGGCTTGTCAGGATCAGGAAGTTTCAAGACCTCGTAGTGCGTCAACGCATGCTTCAGATGTCTCAAAGCAGCCTCGCACTCATCTGTCCACTCCCATGGGGTGTCAAGCCAGGTCAAATCAGTCAAAGGAGCGGCCACTATGCTATAGTTCTTAACCAAAGTCCTATAGTAGTCTGTCATTCACAAGAAAGATCTCATCTCAGTCACAGACTGAGGACGTGGCCAATCACGAATGCTGGCCACCTTCGCGTCATCGGGTTTCAACCCTTCCGCGGAAATCTCATGACCCAAGCGCAAGACACGGGTGCGGCCAAACTCGCACTTCTCACCGTTGATCTTGAACTTGTGCTGTCGCAGGAGGATGAGGACTTTGTCCAAATGTGCAACGTGCTCCTCGACAGTCTTACTAAAAATAAGTATGTCATCGAGGTACACAATGACAAACTTATCTAAATAGTCATGGAATATCCGATTCATAGCGTGCTGAAAGGTGCCAGGAGCATTGCAAAGGCCGAAAGGCATCACCACAAACTCGTACAGACCGTACCTGGTCTGAAAGGCGGTTTTGTGTTGATCCTCGGGCCGGATTGCAATCTGATGGTACCCGGACTTCAGATCTATCTTGCTGAAGTACCGGCACCCTTGCATTCTATCTAGCAGATCGTCGATGCGCAGTAGGGGCTCTCTGTTCTTTACAGTAATGGCATCGAGGCCCCTATAGTCAATGCACATTCTAAGGGTACCCTCCTTCTTCTTAGGCACGAATAGAACTGGAGACCCATAAGGAGAGACACTCGGCCGGATCCAAGCCTTCTCTACGAGTTCCTTGAGTTGGCGGCGAAGCTCGTCAAGCTCGCCTGGAGACATCCGATAGAACCTACCCGTCGAAATACTAGATCCTGGGATAATCTCTATCGCGTGGACGACCTCCCTCTCAACAACCCCTGTTGGCTCTTCAAATAGATTAGGGTACTTAGCAACTACTCCCTCTATCTCCGGCGGCATTTTCACCGGCTCGCCTGCAGCAGAGACATAGACTAAATACATACCCTCCTCCTGATTTTGCTTATAATAATTGTAGAACGCGGCTGGACACATGCACCCATAGGACTCAATCAGACTACTAGCTTTGAACTTATGTAATCTGGCGGTCCCTCCACCTGGCAAGTTGTGTTTGACCACTTTTCGGTCCCAGTCAAACTGGGGCTGTGCTACAGAGAGGTAGTACATACCTAGTAACATGTCCATTGGGAGCTCGTCACTCACTAGGAACGAGACACGATGTCTCAAGTCCCCTCCCGCGTACAGGAAACAACACTCTACATCCTGGAGGTAGTCGTTAACTAGCATGCGCTGTTTGTTGGCACAGGTCGACTCCATAGGTCGACTCAGGCGCTGCACTCGCCCCTGTAAATGCAGCCTTTCAACGCACGCACGACTAATAAAGTTCCGAGTCGAGCAAGTGTCATAATAGGCCCCGGCCTTGCAGCCGCCAATGACAACCTTGCTGACGAACATCTCACCCTTCGGGGCTTTGACTAGTGTCGTCCAAGAAGCTAGCAGGTCTGATCTAGACCACTCTACCTCTAGCTCCTCTAAGGACTCAAACACATTCATCGAACAGAGGCTCGATGGGTCTGAATGTGTTTGCGGGACGGCGTTGGAGTCAGTAGCTTGGGCCATCTCTCGAGATGGTGAGGGTGTCTCCACCACCTCGACCCTAGCAGGAACAACTACTATTCCTACTGGCCCGACGTGTTTCCCGGAGCATTGCCAGAAGTACTAGCAACATTGCTGCCAACAGGATGAGAGGATCCCAGCACTTGCCCCATCATAGGCGGGATCTTTTCGGTTACCTTCTTGTTGTGGCACTTATACTGACTATGGCCATATTGGCCACATTACAGGCCTGCCGTGAGTACCAATCTCTCCACACGTCCTCTGTGAGACCCGCTTTCTCCCATGGAGGAGCGTTGGGGTCGACTTGACTCCTAGACCGGGAGCCTCCGCGGCATCTACCGGTCGCCTTACCTTTCTGGGGAACGACAGCGACTACTCCACCCTCTGAAGTTTCTACGCTGCCCGCCTCTGCACCTACTCCCTCCTAGAAGTGTTCATCTACTTCGATGGTCGAGCCATCATTATCGACGAACATCAAGCGACCCTTCGCCTTTCAGTTGGGAGGCAGTGTCTTCTTTCGCTCGTCCGTAGTGGGTGCCTATCCATGCCCTATCTTTGCCTCAAGGTCTAGGGCCACCTTGCTAAACGAAGGAAAGTTGTGCATGTTGATATTGGCCTCTTTTGCCAACTGCTTCCTAAGAGGCTGTGAAAAGCATCTCAAGTACGAAGTCAGCAGGACCTGGGGGTCATAGCGCACCCCTGGGACACAGATCAGATGCTCAACAGCGTCAGTGGCTTCCCTTACTGACTTAAACTGCCGCGTGTGCAGTGTCAGGATCGCATCAGTGGCCCTTTGGGCCTCCTGAGGATCATGCCACCTTTCTTCCACCATCTTCAGAAAGTCCTCCAATTTCTGGGAGGCCGCCCAAGCGCGGAAGTCATGACCATACCCCTGGAGTTGTACTAAGCCACTCAACCATCTTGCTGCACTACCCTCTAGGTAGGAGGCAGCCACAAGCACTTCTTCTTGCAAGGTGAGTTTACACCTGACGTAGACCGGCACTGCCCTCAACCATGTGTCGAGGTTTTCGCCTCTCTTGTCCCCTGTGAAAGGTTTGGGAGCGGCGATGGCCGTCTTTGGGACCCACTGTGTCTGTCCCGGTCCCTGTAGCACTGCGGGCTGTGGACCCTGTGACACAGGTTGCTGTGCCAACTGCTGGGGCTTTGTGCCCTGCGGCTGCACGGGCTGCGAGACAGCAGGCTGCGTGGTGACTGCAACCTGCAACGGAGTTTGGGTGTACACTGTTTGAACAGGAACCTGCAAACTACTCCCTGTTGTTACCCCTCCTGACAACGGCATGCCCAGGGAAACGATAGCAACCAATGACGGGGCTACATATGGGGATACCCCAGTCACCGGTGGGACATAAGGAGGAGGATGTGCAACGGGCCAGGCACCAGGCGAGGACATTGGCGACGTGGCCTGCGTTCGCCCAACCAACGGGGCCAAACTTTGCTGGATATCCTGAAGGATGGTTGTCTGATGGTCCTGCATCTCTACTACATTCAGCAGGACCGACCATACAAGTCTCACTTCTTCAGGCACATTCGTCAGCTCCATTTCCTCTAGCTCACTAATGTCCGCTTGTCTACGTTGCATCCTGGCTCTTTTTTTGATCATCTCTTCTGTCTCCGCTTTTATCTTTCCTAAAGCATTCTGTAGCTGTGCCTCCTGGAGGACTGCCTCCTGTATGGCGATCTCATCAGGAGTCAACACCAATGGCTGGCTCGCCATTACGCCAGTGGACTGTACCACGGTCTGTGCGACCGTCGACCCGACAGACCCTGAACTACCGGCTTGAGAAGTCTGCATTGCTGAGGTAGATATGGCTTCCGAAGCTGCGGTCTCACTCAAGAGTGCCCTGCTAGCCTCCGCTGCTCTAGCCCTCCTCCGCTGCTGCTATCTCTCCCTAAGCTTGCGGAACAATATCCTATCACCCTCCGGTCCTAGGGACACGTGAGCTCTCGGGCCTCTAGCTGATCGCAAGATCCTCCGGTCGTCCTCCCCGGTGTCCTCCTCGTCGCTCATAAGCTACAACCCTGTACACAATCTGAACTAATGCACTCTAGGTGCCTACCGCAGCGTAGTGCACAGACCGATTAAAATAATTGGTTGCTATTTCGGAATAGATATCAGTCGAGGTCAACAGGTGAGTCAGGTTCCTACAACTGAAACTATTTTTAGTCTGACTAGTCCGCAAACAGAAGCACTAGGAACAATAAACAGTTCTAACTAATGTTGTCTGCCAGATGTCAATGGCAGTACATCTAACTAATCAAAAACGTAAAAATAAAATCAGTTGTGTGGATAGGACAACATGGCATTTTCTCGAACTTATCACCTGGAATCAACCCCTCCCTTAGTTCCCCTGAGTATCTCTTGACGCCAGCGTCGCTAAGCAATCTGGAAGCGTAGCGTGTCTAAAGGTGTGTGTTCGGCCCACCCCTGTGCCTCGAGTATCCACTGAGCTGGCCAGCCTTGCACGTATATTTATCCTCGGCGTGCCTCGAGCCTTCCAACCATTGGCTGATCCAGGGCCAATTTAACGTCCGCCCCCAAGTGACTCCAAGAATTATTTTACGTCGCAGCCGGACGACGATCACAGTCGATGGTTCCCCTACCCGTGTTTATTTATAGACGTTGGGTGCTCATCTTTCCTGTAGGGCTGGCCTGCCCAGTAGTACCCATCTAACAGCGCAGCAAGCCGAACGAAGGACAAGCAGCAAGGCATGTGTGCTCTACTCCCTGTGGGTTGGCATGGTGACTGTGACCCAGTGCTTCGTCCAGGGCCCTTCAGAAAGCTTCGCCCATCTCCACCCAGATGCTCCACGTGAACATTGCCAACTCTCAAGGTTGAGCGCACTCGACACCTCACGATGAGAGGACTCTCAAGAAGGAACACACAACCTCACGGTAAGTAGTGTCGGAGAGGGAAGATAAGGTTAAGAGCAACGTACTCATTTAGCTGCCCCCAACCACAGAGATAATCTCACCAGATGACCAAATGGCGATTGCGATGACCAGTCACTTCATCGGCACAACCAGCATTATCTCGCCGTTCCACCTCCGCATCAATCGCACAGTAGATAGTTTTCATCACACTGTCCAGACCACATTCACCTCACGTAGCCTTCCTGGCGATCCCCTCACCTCCTGGGTCGCCTTCACACTCGTCTCCACCCTCCTCACTACACACCACTTACGGCCAAACTCGCCCAACAGACCGCATGCATGTACCGCATAAGGCAGAAGACAAGCGCCAGATGAGCGCAATCGTACCACAACTCTGATACCAAATTGCAAGGAAGATGAGCAATAGCGAACTTCAGCAATCAATCAGCATATGAGTCCAGATAGTCTTGACCTCGAACCAACAGCAGAATTGCAACACGAGATTCACCAAATAAGAACACACCAAGAGTTCATAATTGACAATGCTGAAATAGTCCCATCATCATCAACGAAGAACCAGAGTTGTTATCCTATCTGGCGCTCGGCGCCCAGACTACATGTGGCAGATCCTATCCAGCCTATACTTCGAAGCCAAAAGATGACGCCAACAGCATTCCCGAAGTACGAGCATATGGCGACCAATGTCGCACGCTTCCAGCACCAGGTATGTCTCGCGCTACACTCACAACCTCGTTCCCCAACTCACAGATGCCACTAACACCCAAGGACCACCCTGTGCCTCACCCAGCTTACAGCAGCGCAGCTCGGCTATGGCTGCGTGCTCCTTCCCTGCTCGCCCGTGAGAGCGTAGGCGCCAGCCAGCAAATAGCGCAGCAGCAGCGCTTGCGCAGCATGCAGCCAGCACCTGAATGCCGAATGAGGAGGCAGGCCCTTCCCTATATCGAAGTGGTCGGCCTGCCTCCAGTCCCAGGAAGCTTCCAGTAGGCCCCGGTAGCCTGAGGCCCAGCACGACGAGAGCAGGCCTTGGGCCTGAAGTGGTTGCCTGTGCCCAACTGCCTTCGGCCTGTGTTTGGCCCGGTACCCGTATTCAGCCCAGGGCCTGCTTCACATACATTCACACAGGTGTCCCAGGGCCTGGGTTCACTCAACCAACTGGCGCTGCGCAACTGCCTGAATTTCCCTGAGTTGCGTGGTGGCCAGAAAAGGGCCCTGAGGGCCTCGTCGAGCCTGCCTTCACTTAGGGCGGCCGACGGGCTGCAAAATGGGGCCTTATGGGGCTCATAGAGGCAATGGCCTCGCATATACAATAATATAATATATATATATAATATATATATATTATATCGTCACA